TTACAGAGTAACTATAGGCGCCCCGCCTGCGCAAAGTTACAGAGTAACTATAGGCGCCCTGACTGCGCACAGTTACAGAGTAACTATAGGCGCCCTGACTGCGCACAGTTACATAGCAACTATAGGCGCCCCACCTGCGCACAGTTACAGAGTAACTATAGCTCCCCGGCTGCGCAAAGTTACAGAGTAACTATAGGCGCCCTCCTGCTGATCCGACGAGTTATAACAAGAGCGACAGATAAGGCGCTGAGGAAAAAATGTGAGCTAGAAGAATTGAACACATAAAAAAATGCAACCACAACAACCGGATCGGCGCTCGTAAAGGAGGTAATGTCATTTTTACCGCGCGCTCGGGTTTGGTCCCGTCCCAGCCCAGCAGCGCGGCGCCCCGGCCGGCCACTCCAGAGCCGCTCCGGGCGCTCCATAGGCTCACTGTTCACCATCGTCGGGATCTGGAGCGATAAATCTCGCGGAGTAAGTTGCCATTGAGCGGCCCGTGTCGCCATAATCACGCGAGGCGGTTGCACAGCGCGAGGGACGCCTCTTCTGAATGCTGAAGGCTCCGCTGCCTCTGATCCGTCACAACACAGCCGGCTCCCGTACATTTGCACCGTATGTAAAGGCAGAGAACACCAGTGTTGCGGGTTTGCATACCCTAGGGGCTATGGCGCCTTATTACGGGCAGATCGGGTACACTGGAAATGCAAGTGTGTGAATGTCGCTCACCTGCAGGTGAGCGACATTTCTTTCGTACACTTGAGGGGGTAAACGTGTGAATTTTTTCACACCTTTACCCCTCTAAGTGTACGAATGGAATGTCGCTCACCTGCAGGTGAGCGACATTCACACACTTGCATTTCCAGTGAGGCAAACCCGCAACAGTGGGGAGTACATATTAGCCTTAACAATACAATCGGTAGGCGCGCCGGGCCCGGTGTGTCGCGGACACACACGTAGGGTTGGGAGTCCTGGAAAGTTTCCGGGAAATTTACGGCAATCTAGGAAAAATTTCCCAGGCCCCAGATTGTTGTTCAATTTTTCCGGGAATTTTCAATTCTAGGAGCACAGCCCCTGCGGCCGCCTCCTCGAGAACATCAAGGCAGGCACCGCCCGGGCACCGCGACCAGCTATTATGGCTGATTGCAGAGGTGAGCGCGGGTGAGCGCCTTCGGCGGCCGTCATATAGGGGCGGCGGGGCGGGGCAGGGCGGGGCAGGGCAGGCCGCAGACCTGGCCCCTGGCCGCCCCCGGGCTCACAAGGGTCCCACCACTTTCACTTCACATCTTCTCCCTCCTCCTCCTTCTCCTCCTCCATGTCGTCCGTCATCGTCCTTCTCACCTCCACGCGTATATACCTCCTATATCTTCTATGTTTTGGTCTCATCGGCTGGCCTCGACCCCCTTGGAATTTCTCCCCACACCCGCCTTCCTCTTTCGTGCAATTGCGGGCTGTGCTGGCGGTGCCACGGTGTGCACTACCCACCCACCCCCCCGTGAAAATCAGACTTTTGTGCCGAGCGACTTTATTGGGCTAGGGCGTGGCGTGGCGTTGGCCCAGATGCATGCCCGGGGCCGACCCAGCTGCATGAAGCCCACCAACTAGCCCAACCCACCCCCCTCCTTACCCCTCCTCCCCTTTACCACCACATTGACCAGTTACCCGCGCATAACCCTGTTTCGTTTCAAAACACCGACCGAAGCAGAAGCAGCCGATGATTCCCGCCCGTCGAAGAGCCATAAACGAGGGGGAAAAAACCCGCATACTCATACATGCTCATACATACATGCTCTTAGCGCCCGGCCCCGCCTTGCCCCGCCTTGCCCCGCCCCGCCCCGCCACGCCCAGCACCAGAGTGAAAGTCCCCCTCCAGCCGGCCCACGTTCGAAGCGCCCCGGAGTGCGCGCGGCCCGTCTAGGCCGGCAGGCTCGCCAATTCCCCCGATTAGGCATGCAAAAGTCCGGCAAATGTCGTGCAAAACTGTTCCGCGGGCGGCTGGGTGGCGCAGCAACAGCTCCAAGTTCCGCGCGGACCCCCTGCAGATCGAACGCGTTTCCGTCAATGTTAAACTGGTGAACTTGGTGCGGTGCTCTATTTGAAATCGGCGTGAGAAGAGAAGAGAAGAGAAGAGAAGAGAAGAGAAGAGAAGAGAAGAGAAGAGAAGAGAAGAGAAGAGAAGAGAAGAGAAGAACAGCTTACAGCTGATAACTTTCGCGTTGCGATGAGTAACATCGCCTTACCGTTACTGTTAATTATCGCTTGCTTCGGCGGGGCGCGATGGAGTGGCGCGCGGGAGCGCTGGCCTGGCAGTCCGCGCCGCGACTAGAGAGAGGGGGAAGGGGAGTATGGGGGGGGGGAGGGCACCGACCGATCGCAAAACGCCCAGCCCAGCCTCGACTTGACTGCATAGGAATGTATACCTCGCTATAGAGGGGTGATCACAATCACGGACAATATTTTCAAGAACAAAAGTAAATAAAATTCATTGAAAAAAAAATCACTTATGCTGAACGGTTAGTTGATGGATTTTATCAAATATGTAAAATTGTATGAAATGTATATGTCTCGCTGGAGGCTCCAGCAGCAGAGCAGGCTCAGGCTCCGGCCAATCATTCACGGCCTGGATCTGGGCCAGCTGCTGCCCGGCCCCATAGCCAGTAGGACTCCTCAAGGTGCGCGGGCAGCGGTGCACGGTGCTGGTGTGGTGCCAGCGTGTGAGAGAGACCGCTGGACCCCCGGCCGGCTATTCTGCAATGTGCCTATCACAATACAAAACAAGAAGTGCGTAAAAGAATCCAGATTTTTTTATTCTTTAAAAAAAAAATACCTGGCAGTTAGGACTTTTTGATGGCATAGGCAAGGCAACAGAATAAATCCCGTTCCCTTCTCGTGTTCTAGCCAAACGGTCGCTCTGCTTAGTAATAAACAGGCCGCCTTAAAAGCCCCCCCCCCTCCCAGATTGTATCTCCTCTCCAGAGAGCAGGCCCATGGCGCCTATCTGCCCAAAAGGATAGCGCCCCCACCTCGGGGCGGGCAAACGGAAACGACAGGCACGTGTCCTGCACAGAGAGCGTGCCTTACAGGCAAACTGCAGATGCACTGCAAACTCACCACCCGTCAGGTCAGGCGTCTTATTTAGTGCGTCTGGGGGAGAGTCCTGACTCTTGCGATGGTCTCCGTCCTCCGCCTTCACACCAATAGCAGACTCGTAGTAGAGGCTCTCCGGAGCACGGCGGCTGCGACCCGCACCGCACCGCAGATGGCAGCTGCAGGCAGATGTGTGGCTCCACCTTCACACTAAATGGCGAGGGACAATTTTTGTACGTAGGCTGGATGTGTCTTTGAGCACATCTAAACCAAATGCAAATTTGCATCCAAGTCACATACAAAATATAGCATTTGTACCTAGCCTAGGTACACTTTGTGCCTCTGTGCAGACAAATTTGTATCTGATGAAGATGTGCTCAAAGACACATCTAACTAAGGTACAAAAATTGTCCCTCCCCATTTAGAGTGTTGGCGCGACGCGGTTACACAGATCCTAATGTGTTTCTTCTCTCTGAAATGTGTACTGTACCCACCCTGTTCCCCAAAACAGGCGTCACGCAAACATCAAGCGCAATAAAGGAAAAACGGGCGGAGACGCAGAGTCACCCTGGTTTCAATGCCAAGGAAAACTTGGTGGTTTTATTCTTATTCAAGTTCTTACGAACTTACAAATTTCTAATACTATATTTACTTCATCTTCGACGTGACATAAAAACGAGACACTTCACACAACAGCTTTCACAGGCAATCGATATCATATTAACAAGAGACGAGGTAACTATAACATAGCATCTATGTGTTGTTTAAGATGTCTCCACAAAACACAAGATTCAGAGAATGTACTTTGACACACGGTGCACTTATACGGCTTCTCTGTTGTGTGGGTGCCTTGGTGGTGGTGGAGGGGACCAGATACAGAGGATTCCTTTCGGCATATGGTGGTGGTGCACTCTCCTGAGTGGGTTTGCATGTGTATCGTCGAATCCCCTGGGCGGGCGAATTCCCCATGGTACTCGGTGCCCTCGTACAACTTTTCTTCGGTGTGAGCTCGCTGATGAGACTCCAGACTGCTAACATTCGCGAATCGCTTGTGACATACGGTGCACTCGAGTGGCTGTGGCATCTCCCGCGTGTGGGTCCCCAAATGTACCTTCAAAAGGTAAGGCAAGGAGAATTTCGCAAGGCACAGGGTGCACCCAAAGGGCTTCTCTTTCGTGTGGATGCGTAGGTGGATTAGTAGG